TTACAATGTTTGCGTGTTTGCTTGTTCGTTAGTGGTCTCTCCACCGTGTGCTTTTTTCTGTCTCTTGCTTGTTATTTTCGGCCTGGTCCCTTATTGTCTTCGCTCTTTGTCGTTTTCTTTTCTCTTTTCTTCCTGGTTCCTTCTCTTTTTTCTCTTTTTTCTCTCGTGCTTCTCTCTTGCTCTGTGTCAGATGGCCAAGATTGAACCAAGGGGGTGTACCTCATTCTCTCTGGCCCGTGATGGTGACTCCTAGTCTCAGTTGTTACCTCGAATAGCGCGCAGAGGGAGGGGAGGACTCCAGAATATCTGTCGTTCATTTTTATTGACTTGCGGACCTCTCTGGGCAAGTATATTTGAGTATACCTTTTAAGGATCAGTTAGCCTGTGACCACGGGAATCGACCGCGTCAAGTGTTGGATCAGTACGGACATATGAAGGTACTGGGTAGAGAGAGATCGGAACGGTTTTTAATGTGAGGACAGCAACAACAGCAACAACAACAACAACAACAACAACAACAACAACAACAACAACAACAACAACAACAACTAACAGCTAGGTTCGACTCAAGAACAGCGCGGAATCAGGGCTGCGCGGGTACCAATGTGCAGGAGAGCTCAAAGCTGTACCACCAGGGTTTCTTTTTCCTGTGTCCCTTCGAAAGAAGCTGGTCCGTGTTGATCTCCACCCCCCCACACACACACCAAAAGACGAAAAACGCCGTATGAACGTTCGTCCGCATCCATATGCCAGAGTGAAAGTGCGCTCTCTCTAGTTCGCGTCGACCGCGCCAACCTGCCGACCCTGGACATGATTACCGTCCGTCTGTTAGACCTTTGGTCTATCCCCTGCTGTGTGCTCGTCATTTACATAGCTTCTGCATTGGGGTACAAATAGGTGCGCTCCTCTCCCTGATCTTCGAAGGACATCTGCTTGTACGCTGCAGGGCACAGCAGTAGATCCAACGAGACCATTACTCTGAAGGTCTTGACGATTTTCGGCCTGGATGTGTGCTAGCGTCTAGCTGCGTGTGCGGTGCAACAGGAGCACGGTAGTGACGGCAGCTGCATCTACTCGGAGGTACAACATGGCAGGAAATACCGGCAGCAGCGGAGGTATGAGTAACACATCATGCTTGATGCTGGGTCGTGCGGGCCGGCGGATAGAAAGTATTGTAGAGTCCGTCCGGTTTCCTTTTGCCACAGTCTCCCGGGGTCACTCCGGGCTCACTCTGGAATTGATTCCGAGTGACTGGGTGCCCCCCCAGTGACATAACGTTGTTTCGAAAGAAAGCTCTGTTTCAGGCGGATCGTTTGATCGGAGGAGACTTTTCGTTTTTCTCTTTGGTTGGAGAGAAAATCGCGAGTTCATCGAGATCGTTGCAAAAATGTGAACGGTTTTATGTGGTCGAATGTGAGGTCATTGACACCCGAGGAGTTCACGATCGACCCAACGCAGTGTTTTTTTTGCTCATATGCTACGGAGAAATGGGCAAAAAAACGTATTACGGGTAAACTCCAGAAAAACGTTTTTCAGGGAGGAATGCACCGATGGGATCCGAAAAACTCAACGGATTCGGACGAGAACGGGACCTTCAGCCTCGACAAGTTTTTCATTTTCCCCCCAAAAAATTGAGCGAGATGTGGCCCGAAAAAAAATGATTTTACCGAAAAAAAAAAATCGACACTCCCACTAATATATATATGATAGGCATTTTTTGTCAAATCTTGTTCCACAGCAGTCGTTTACTTAATGCTAGTTTCAAGGAGTTCAAAACACCCTCTTCGGTTTTCTCCAGCCCGTTGGCATTCGCTCAGAAATCGGTGCTTTTCTACACATCACTTGGTCTTAGAATATGCCAAAATAAAAGTCGTGGGAAACAACATTTACTTGACAGATTATTACTGTATTCTTCTTGCCCACACCGTCACGAAACACTTTGTTTCATTGGCTAAATCTTAAAGTTGAGCGAGAAAAAGTGCGCGTCATGGTGTTGCAAAATTGAAGCGGATGGACTTCAATTTCACCCGAAAGCGGCGCGTCAGCATGAGCGAGAGAAACTGAACTGGTGGCACTGCTGCTGTTGAACGGGGGTATAATTAAGCCCAAGCGACCCTTGAGATACGAGGCGCACATCACACGCCAACAAGGTCCGTGTCTATGTAGGCAGCGTGTGTCGAAGTCCCGCGTCGTGTAGTCTTGTCGTCGGGTCATACATGTCCATCTGGGATTTTGGTGCTATAAATGGCAGGCATTGCCAACTTCACGCTGGTGCCCGAGGCACCGAGAGACGAGTCTGGATGACTCACCTTGAATCCTTGCTCCAACGTACTCTCTCTCTCTCCTGTAGCCATGACTCTCGTCTGCTCCCGCAGCGAAGTATCACGTGACAGGTGAAAAGTGAAACACGGGTAGTGTTGTCATCATCTATGATGGGCAGCGCAAGCAAAAATTGAATCGAGGGAGTTCAAGCATCGACTGCGGCGTTCGTGCGACAGAAATAGGAAAGCGTAACCGCCAAAAGAGGGAAGTAGAACTGTGCTGTATTTATTGTCTCCCCATCTCGTGCGCGATTTCTCTCTCTCTCTCTCTCTCTCTCTCTCTCTCTCTCTCCCTCTCTCTCTCTCTCTCTCTCGTTGTTGTCAACTCTATTTTTCTCTTATACAACAACAACAACAGACAAACCCGCCCAATTCCGTGCTCGGGACGCTGAACCTCGTTTCCCTTCCTAGCTTGGTCAAGCACACCGTTGCTGGCAGAACAAAGGCGAGATCATCTTGTACGGGCTTCAGTTTCAGCTTTGTATCAACCGCGTTTGGTAAAAGAGAAGTACGCGAATCATGACGCCGTGGGCGAAGAAGTCGGCGTCGCTTTACACAGTCGGTCGCAAGCTCGAGGATGGCGCCATGTACATTTTAGATCTGGAGGATATGTATCCCGCGGGCGTCCTTGTCCAGGCATACAAACAGGAGACTTCGGATCGATATACATTGTCCGTCTCGGAAGGAGAGGTGAGACGTTCTTGAATCCACATGTATGTACCACTTACAGCATTTCGAACGAGAGGTAGTGGTGATACGGCGCCCTACTCTATTTTGCAGTGTTGAATACTCAGCATTTGTAGGTGAAATGCCTAATAAGTCGCACGTATCACAAAAGCATCGACATGTCTATGTGTTATGGCACTTTGTGTGTCGGTCATCTGCTTCACTTCTTGCTCCCCCAGTAGAGCTCATTGTCAACATTGTCGTCTACCATACATATGCCGTAAATTCGCTGGTGTGGTTGTCGTTGCTTGGTGCTGGCATTGAGAACATTTTTTTTAACTTTACGAGCACTGTGGGCAGGGGGTGCTTGAAACAAGCGCGGCGTTGAGAACGTTGCAAAGTCGCATCGAAATAGAACACGGAGAACTCTTCTGCCTCCAAATAGGGCAAAGACTTGTTTCATGCTCATCCTACAACCACGGAGTGTTGTGCTGGCATAAGTCCACTCTCTTAGAGTGCTGCCGTTCATGAAGCCTGTCCATCGTCTACAGCGCTTGTTTTAATCGTGAGGAAGAAACACGACTGAACCTATCTCTCGTACGAAAGGCAAGAAATGTATGCTGTACAGAAATAATTCAACTTGACTCCGGATCGGAGCTGTTTGTAACGAGGCACTGCCGAAGGGTAGTAGGAAGCTGCCAAGGACGGCCAATCAATGGCATGACCTGATGAACAAGTTAATGTTGCCCTGGGCTGTTTTCCTGCTCCGTATCTCAATCACGTCGAACACCAATAGCTGGGGAGCGCGGGTTTGTCGCGATCGAGAAGTGACCTGGAACGGTTGGCTGAGAGCATAGACATCTGCCATGTGCACGGCCAGATTTTCATCTATTCCACCTTCGATGGCATTGCCAAGCCTAAGATTGTACCGACGGGAGACCAGGCCAGGTACGATATGCAAAAATGAGGTCCAAGAGATGCACGCAACAGTCAGCCGTAGTAGTCCGTCGTCCTCAATGGATTTTCCTATTAGGTCCGACGGACCCGAAAATCGTTTAGATCCACCCCAGCACCAATCAATACGAAACTGACCGGCCTACGGCGGTGGGTCATTGTGTGACTGTCCCACCCAGCCTCTTCAGTCACCGATGTATGCGAGAATTTTTTCCCTGGTTGCGCTGCAGTAGGCCGGGGCATTAGATATTTGTACGATATGACGCTTGTTGTACATCGGCATTCCGTGTCGATCCGACACCGATCGATCTCTGTTCCAGAGAAGGATGGAGAGTACGTAAGGGCCTACGACGCAAGTGTAGCTGTGCGGCTGTCCGTTCCTTCGTGGAGACAGCCCATCTCATGTAGACTATATCGTCTCTGCGCCGTTCCCGACGGTGCTATGCCCAATGTGCAAACCAACAGGGCGTTCGTTGAAGGGATGAGAGCAGGCACGGGGTCCCTCGAAGAGCTCCTCACCACCGCCTTGTCAGAGCTCTGCAAGGTGAAGCCGGACGGGCTCGACGCCGTCAGGTGAGATGGACCAGAGACGGGCAAAGCAGCAAACGTTTCTTTTCTTTTCTAGCGGGGGGACGAATGGCGTGAGCAATGAACAAGCGATCGAATCCTTTCTTGAGGGGCACTGTTGTATGTGGTAGCATTGATGGGGCGTCACATGAGACGGAAGGAGCACATGTGACCGTGACCAAACTCGAGAACGGAGAATCAACATGCGCGTGTGTCCGGAATTCACTCGCTCTTCAAAAAGCTTGATGGGTGTCTCTTCAGGTGGCTTGCGGAATGGCTGTTGGAGAACAATCCCAACAAGCCGAAGGTGGTCCACGCGGACGACGAACGGGATGGGGGTGAGGATGGAGGCGGTGGCGAGACGGCACTGAGGGACGGTTCGGTGCTGGGAATGGTGGCGACGGTAGAGAGTCGACTCCAGGAGGAGTGAAGTTGGTTTGTTTGTAGAGAGTGAAGTTGATTTGTCTGCAGCTTGCCCGAGTGGGGCGGGTTGGAGCAAGGCAGCACGTAATTGCAGGCGTGCGGGCGGTAAAACAAAGGTTGGTCCGACCAATTATCTTGCCGCCTGTTCGAGGTTAGATGTGCGCCGCTTGCGCTACACCCAATCGCTGATAGCCGCCCATGGCCATTGGTTCACCACAAGCTTTCCACAAGGGACAGGTATTTAGTCGGACATCCTGTAATTGAGTCGTTGTAAAATTGCACGACTGCAAAACAAAAAATTGAAAAAGTCTCATTTGTGACTTTCCTCTTATATGACCCCCCGGCTCATACGTGAGGTATTTAAGCCGAGAGGCCTGTACACCGGCGCCAGAATAGATGGGACAAACAAACACACACTACATTGTTATCTTTGTTTTCCAGTGGTCACCGTACATAGCCACAAACTACCAAGATGGTAAAAAGGGGGAGGCAAATCCCAACAGCGGGGGAGGTGACTACAACGACATAACTTAAACGTGACAGCTGCACTCCACACGTCCCCGTTTCCCTGCGTGAGGGTACTCTACTTTCTTTGCACCAACATGTTGCTGTCCCTTTTACGCACGACGGACGGCCCCTTTGTTGATCCCTAAGGCATTATAATCACACGCCACAATCAAATATACATCAACTGCTACACGTTACTCTCGTGTAATAAACTAACAGGCCGTGAGAGTCCCTGGATAACAAATGCGTGTATCAAAACAGCGGGGCATCCTTCTCTTTAGAGAACTAACCTGTATCGGTATCTTCCCGCGGTTAAAAGCGATGGCAAAATACCCCAACACACAGAAACAAAACAATACTGCTGGCCTAGATAAGGCTCTAAGCGAACGTTGCTCCTAGATGGCGCCTTGCTACCTCCTGGCGCTGCCGAATCGAAACGTCTATTTGGGCGTGTTTTTATTTCCTTGTTCTTCAATAATGTGGGTTCCTATTTCTTCCCGCGGCCGAAAAACTTGTTGATCTTGAACATGATGTCCGCCTCCGGGTCAACGTAGTCCGGCGTCTCTATTGTCTCGATGTAGCCGCCGAAGAAGTTGCTCTTGGTGCCCGCCGCGGCCTCGAACAGCATCGACTCCGCCACGCGTTTGCAGGCCGCGGCGTTCTGGCCCGGCACCCTCGCAGCTATCTTCTCCCAGTAGGCGTCCCCCTTGCCGGAGGGCACTTCTTTCCGTGCCTTCTTGAAGGCCTCGAACTGCTCGATTTTCATTTTTTCACGTGGTTGGTTACGTAAGTGTTGGCGCAAAAGAACATGAACACGAGGTGGGGGTGATGTGGGTGCATGGGATGATCACCACATGCAGCGATAGAGGGGGTACAATACAACTACATGCAGGTTAATTTGCGGGGTACCGTAGTAGGCGGAGAGATGGCACCGGGTGCGATCGTTTTTTCAAGTGTGTTTTCCCTCGGTTTTGTACGGCACCCCGGTGACATCTCTCTGACCCCGGTGCGGAAATGCACTTGAATCATTTCATCTAGTTTTTCAAGGCACCCCGGTGCGATTTCTCCGACCGGTGCCATCCCCGATGACATACACACAGGTACAATATGCACGCACCCCGGTGCCATCTCCCCGACCGTTGCCATCGTGTTGATACCAGTGTAGGCATGCCCACGCACATACACGGCCTCCAAAACACGATAAATAGTTCACAACGCTATTGATCAGTAGAACCGCACGTGTAGGTACCGTTTTTGCTGGTTGGAAGCACACGGGTAACGGCAACGTAGACTGGGACGTAACAGCTTTCCAGCGAGTGGCCTTGGGTGTTTGAATGCGAGTTTGCTACGGAGTGAAAAGGGCAACAAACGATGTGGTTTCCATCTGAGGCACCGGTTCACATGGTGTCAGACTGTCTTCCGCTTTCTTTTCGGTATTCCTATATGGAAAACAATACAATAGTTTCGTGTTGCGTCAGGTGGGGTAGGGTGCGGCTTGTACGTTGTGTGTTTGGTTGAGTGTACGGTTGGTGACTTCCATACCAACAACAATGAAACAACTGGCATCCCGCGTGAATCGCGACCACGCATAAGTACATACAGGGCAAGAGTGGCGCTCCGCTGACACCGTCCCCACGTGCAAAAGGTACGCACATGTACCCCATTCCGGCTGCTGATAAGGAGCTCAGCCTTGGATTTGAGGGTCGGTGAGATGGCACCGCGGTGCGATCTCACCGCCACCGGTGCGTAAATCGAACCTTATCATGCCGTTCTTGGATTTTTTGCGCACCCCGGTACCATCTCCCCGACCGGTGCCATCTCTCCGACTATTTCGGTAGTCTGTCTTCCCTCAGCAGCTGGAAAAACGCTAATTGCTTTGCACACTGCCAGATATCACACTGTAGGCTGCTGCCTGTACATATTTTTTTTTTCTTGAAATGCAAAACTTGAGAGAGTTGAGGGCAGTTTCGAACGTCGCGCGACAAGACGTACCCCTTGCCTCAAAACATGCCCCCTCTTCCGTGGCATTGCTCTTTATTTCTAGATGCCGTGATGCTTGTGCGTTAGCGTTCGATTCCTCGGCATGTGCGACCTTTCCACTAACCTGTGGTGGAGTGAAGACTCCCTCGCTCTTTCTTGTTGCTGTTTTCCGACTCCTCTCCCGTATCGCCGTCGCCTTCTCCTGCGCCCGCCGTTGAGCGGGTGTAACCTCCTCAGCAATCTTGGTCTAGAAGGCGAAAACACGCAAAACAGCGGACGTATATGACCAAGGGGAAAGAGAGAGAGAGAGAGAGAGAGAGAGAGAGAGAGAGAGAGAGAGAGAGA